TGCGATTCCGTGGTCAGAATGCGACCAGCTTTAAGGAAGAAGAGAAATATATGATTTAGCTGTAGTTTGTTACCCAAGTTTAAGCATTGATCTCCTGTACGATTTTAAGAAAGTACAGCCGATGCCAAATCATCCCGTGATTTTTTCTTCTCTATCTATTAAATACAGAAAAAAAAGAAGATTCGTCATCTCCTTTCTCCTTTTTTTCCCTTCTTTGTCCCATATCACATTCGTTTCCGGCAGATAATGCGAGAGACACGTAATCCTCATAAAGTTGCAACTTTACTTTTACAGAAAAAACATGGTTTGATTTCCTCTTTTATATCATCATTCTCATTTCTTTTTTGTTGCGAATTAAAATATCAAGTTTTTTTTAATATTTTTACATGACTTTCGGTTAAAAATTGAATTCCTCAATTTTGCCGCGATACTCTCTTGAATATTTATTTAGACGATGCTTTTCAACCGTGCTTTAAATTTCCACATTTCAATTGATTTTGGACAATGTAACAGCTTACATTTACATAAAAATTTAAGTTAACTTAATCTTAAAAAACATGATGATTTTGGTATATCTCCGTTATGTTAAAAATTCATCACAATGGCGTTAACTTTTTTTTATATAAAATTTCAAAAGAAATAAAATTATATGTAAGAAATTTCAAGTATTTAACAAGAAATCAATTCGCAATTCTTTATTTTCATGATTGATACGAAGAGAAGCATTTTCTTTGACAAGCATCATCGAGATCGACAATTAAGCATTTCACGGTGTAGAAGAATTCCAGTGCAAATAGTGAAAAGAGCGTTTATTTCGTTCGTCGACAACGAATTTATGAAGCGTAAAATATTAGAGCGTACTATCTAATTGTATATTAATTGAGTTTTATAATGGTAGCTGTTTATCATACACGACTTTTTGTTTGTTAACGCCCCATTAACGCGATCCTCGTCAAATATCCTATCGTATCTTGCTCCTCCTGATACTTCTTTTTCCTGCTCTCCATTTCCTTTTTGAGATTATAACCCAAAAATACGACTGGTGGTTACAAGCTATTTTTTCAAAGCCCGCCCGTACTACTGAGCGTGTGGGAGAGAATCGACGAAAAGTGTAATAGATAAATCAAATTTAAACGTACTCACAATATTCGTTTTCTTCCGCGTGGAATAGAAAGTCCAGAGTTTCATAAAAATTTACAAAATAGCAGTCGGATTGCAAAATAACTATCATTGATTATGTTTGTGGAAGATTCGGCACCTCGCGATTTTGATATTAGTACAGTAAGTCAATTAAAAACAAAAAGCAAGTCAATTTAATCTGACGATGCCACTATGCACTCGGAGAAAAACAGTGATAGCAACTATGTAAGTGACAACTACAGAAATTTTGTACTATGTAGAATTAATATACACACACACATATACTGAATAAACTATTTAATAGTTGCAATAACTATATATTAATTTTACATATAAAACTTGTATAGTTGCCATCAGTATAAGAGTTGCCTCTTTTTCTCTGATTGCGTAAGACATTTTTCTAATAATCTTTCACTCGAAAACGTGGTAGGATCGTGATAATATTTTCGAGCTGTAATGAAAAAATTATTTTTTACTAATGACATCGCAAAATTAAATAAAAGGTCGAGGATTCTCTACAGTATACGGTGTCATCGTTGGATTAAAAAAAACAGGACTTAAGAATCTTGGAATCTCATAAGATCTGAGAAAGTCGCAACGCGTGGTGCCTGTCGTGGAGAAAACTCAAAAAAAAAAAATAGCAAAGAGAGAAAAATCTAATGTTTATGTAACCCTGTGATGTATTAGTATGATCTCAGTAAACATAACTTAGCGTGTACTTCTTATCTATAATAATTAGATTATGTATGTATATGCGATAGCGAGAAATTGTGACAGACATTTAAAAAATGTCTCACGTAGTAGAGTATAAAAATTAGAAATCACGGATCAAGTCGACGATTCCCGATATTTGTGTGTGCGTGTGCGTGCGTATGATATATGCATGAGAGTACGTCCTGCAGAATGAAAGCTAAAAGAAAAAGATAGAACAGGAGGCCACCTAGTGAATCATGCCTCACTTTCAGTCGATACTCCGCGACATAAAATTATATATGTGTAACGACAATATTATATGATGTATAATTATATATAAAAAAACTGTAACTATAAGAGAGTCTAAAAAACTAACTAACTAACATAAGTGAATTGTGACCCCAATTGTTTATTAAAAAAAGATCTATCTATATAAAAAATTTTATCATTTTTTTCTCTTTCAATTCTTATTATATCCTTACATAATATATATATATTTTTTTTGTGAAAATGATTTTATAGTAAAAGTAAAGTTATGTATTACTATCCTAATTAAAATATAACTAATTCATAAACATTCATAATTTAAAAAGAATTTTAAAAATATGCTCTAATGAGAAGTTTTTCCTAATTTTAAGTTGTGTGAAATATAATCTTTTTTTGAGAGTACGGTTTAAAAATATTCGACTCAAACGTCAGTTTCACCCATACATGATATATAGCGTCACAGAAAAGTGATACAATTAAAAAATTGGTATTTTTGAGATAATAATAGGAAATCGATCCTTTAAACACAAATATATTTTTGAGAAAGAATGATACATTTGTTAATACATTGCTTACAGAAAAAAGTCACAACTCTAATAGGAATGAAATTTACCTAACAACCCTATATTAGGATTGCAGTGTTTGCAATATTGAAAAGTTGCTAATTTTTAATTGTGTTGCTTTTCTATCAATGCAGCGATATATTAGTGTAATTATATTTTATCCTAAATTACCGTAGCTATAATGTGTAACATTCATTTCACTTTATAACAGAAAAACAATTTATCTCATTTCGCAACGGAAAAATCTGGATAATAATACAATACATTCCTTCTTCTTTACCACAACGCGGTACAAAAACCTTGCAGAATCCAGCGATTAAAGAAAACCGTGGCAGGTGCAATTGGAGGTATCTAAAGGACTTGTTCCCGGCAATCCTGGACAGGTGGCCGGAAAGCTTTGCTGGTAAGTGATTTCGTTTCACCTTTACGTCCCCCTTAGTTTCTGCCCAGAACCCAATTTTGCGGTTGTAACGGTCGAATTCGTCTGACAAGAATCGCGCGCAGAGAATCTGGCTAACAATGCCAATATATAATATCAAGTCAACCGTGAAAAATTACGCATTGTGCATTATAGCACAGCTTATTTTCCATAAAAACGCATAATAATAACGCAGAATAATAACGCATAATAATAAAGCATATATGTCAAAAACATATCCGTTAAAAAATATATTATCTGTTTTGAATTCTAAAAATGTATTATTAATTGGATAATTTTTATTTAACTGCTTTATTATTGGGATTATATTTAAAAAAAAAAACGCAGTGTCTTCGAAGTCGATGCATGTCTCATAATTTTCCGTATTTAAGGATGTATCAGATGTATAAATCTACACAAAAAATGACTGAAGTTGAAAATTTATATTTTTTGTAAAAGTGAATTATATACATACGAAACAATTCAATAAAGTCAATATTTATATTTAACAATATTATTTTATAGTTTAAATACAAATTTTCTCATTTGATCTTTAATTTTTTAAAAACATCTTCATATTGCCGTCAAACTTTTTGTATTACTTTTAAATATAATTTAGAAAAACCTGTAACTTTTTTCATAATTTTTATATTTATTAAAAAATACATGTAATATATCCTTAAGACAACAAGTATATTTACAAAACGTTTCTTGAATTTTTTTATATATTTCACACATTACAAAATATTTTAATACAACCCCAGATAGCAAAGCGTGTCTCAGCAAAATCACACAAATCTGTGATTGCTTATGATGTTGGCAACTTGCCATAGATTTGTCTTCAACGATTTCGAATATACCGACATTATAGCAACATGCAAGCAACAATGTGTATATATATTGCCAGCAGTTTAACAGCAAGATAGCTGCATCAATGCTTATCTTGTGTTGTCGGCAATATGAAAGCATTGCACGATGCTGCATATTATTATGGCAACATGATGGCAGTAGTGCGAATTTTGATGATGACGATTTTAAAGTTGTCGGCAAACTGCTGGCAAGTTGCTACTCAAAGTTATCATATCATGAAGGAATCAAGTTGTCAACAAATGAGGACTCAGTTGCTGCAATTCTGGTAGCAACACATGCTTAGCAATGCATACTTAGCAAGTAACATGCCAGCAACAAGATAGACACGTTGCTATCTGGGACTATTTCGAAACAATAAAAACTACCGCTTGCATCAATTACGATTTATATTGCAGTTGCATCGTGAATACAATTAGTGAGTCCGAAAATATCGTTGCGAAATCGTTTGCGGGACGTTATTCATGGATGACCGAACGGCAATATGTGCGTTATAAAGTGCAAGCTAAGTTGCATCTCTCGTCGCCAAATTTGCAAGTAAATTAATGCAAACTGAGTGCTGTCGTTGATGCAAAAAATCCCGGCACATTGCATACGAAATATCCATGATCCCAATGCGCGCGATCCTAATTGGACGATCCATTTGCATATCAATCGAT